AAAAGGTCCTGAATCAAACATGAAAAGGAGCTTAAAATATGACTATTTACAGTTTGGGTCAGAGCCCAAAAATACTTGCAAGAAAGGCTTAGATATAGAGCAAGATAGGAACAAAAAAGAGGGAAAAGAAGCTTACCCTTTAAGACCAATGGACCAGCAGGTCTTGGTCTGAGAAATGGTGCTCCCAAGCTTTGAAAAATAGCTCCAAGTTGTTGGAATGGATGGTGGTGGGGTGTATACCAAAAACCGGGGCAAACGGAGGTGGTTAAGCGGTCCCGAACCGAGGCACACGGCCGTCGGCTCCGAAAAATCGGAAACCAGGCTCCAAACGAGAAAAATGGCCTACGACCACGAAACGTAGCCTACGGCCACTGAGAGATGATCTACGAGACCTCTCCCTCCCTTCGGGAAGAGAAAACAGAGAAAACAGAGCCTGGATCACAAACCGAGGCAAAGCACAAAAGAGTTCGGGAGTCCGGAGACAAGGCTCGCAGCCGAGACTCTGAAACCTCTAAACGAGCACGATATGCAACATCACCAAGCGCTCAATCGGTGACGTCTGAGTCTTAAGGTCGGTCAAAAATGGGGTGTCTGCAGTTGCCCCTCTTTGACAAAACTCGAAAGTCACACGTGACGGGAGTGAATGTCAAAGCCCAGAGACGACCCATTTTTGACAAGGCCGAAGACTTAGACAAACACGCAAGATAACAAAGATGTGCCCGCAGGCATGGGCAAAATGCAACTGCCAATGCAAGAAGCTGAACATAACTTATGATCATGCAAAGAATGCTGTAATGAAGCATACCATGCAACAGTTTTAAGCAAGTGAATACAAATCTAACTGCATTTCATGCAGAAAGGATGTAAGAAGATTATGCAATTCTCACTGCGTCTCACGCGGAGAAGGCTAAAAGCGACTACTGAGAATACCCAGATTCTTACAAACAACATCTCACTGCGTATCACACACAGGAGAGAAAGAAGGTAAACCTCTCAGCGTATCACACGCAAGAGAGGAAAGGTAAACTTCTCAGCATATCACACGCAAGAGAAGAAAGGCAAATTCCTCAGCGTATCACAAGCAAGAGAAAACCTCTCAGCATATCACACGCAAGAGAGGAAAGGCAAATTTCTCAGCGTAATAACACGTAAGAGAAAACCACTTAGCATATCACATGCAAGAGAGGAAAGGCAAATTTCTCAGCATATCACACGCAAGAGAAAACCTCTCAACATATCACATGCAAGGGAGGAAAGATAAATTTCTCAACGTATCACACGCAAGAGAAAACCTCTCAGCATATCACATGCAAGAAAGAAAAGGGAAATTCCTCAGCGTATCACACGCAAGAGAAAACCTCTCAGCATATCACATGCAAGAGAGAAAAGGTAAAGTTCTCAGCGTATCACACGCAAGAGAAAACCTCTCAGCATATCACATGCAAGGGAGGAAAGATAAATTTCTCAACGTATCACACGCAAGAGAAAACCTCTCAGCATATCACATGCAAGAGAGAAAAGGGAAATCTCTCAGCGTATCACACGCAAGAGAAAACCTCTCAGCATATCACATGCAAGAGAGAAAATGTAAATTTCGCAGCGTATCACACGCAAGAGAAAACCTCTCAGCATATCACATGCAAGGGAGGAAAGATAAATTTCTCAGCGTATCACACGCAAGAGAAAACCTTTCAGCATATCACATGCAAGGGAGGAAAGATAAATTTCTCAACGTATCACACGCAAGAGTAAACCTCTCAGTATATCACATGCAAGAGAGAAAAGGGAAATTTCTCAGCGTATCACACGCAAGAGAAAACCTCTCAGCATATCACATGCAAGGGAGGAAAGATAAATTTCTCAACGTATCACACGCAAGAGAAAACCTCTTAGCATATCACATGAAAGAGAGGAAAGGAAAATTCCTTAGCGTATCACACGCAAGAGAAAAGCTCTCAGCATATCACATGCAAGAGAGAAAAGGTAAATTTCTCAGCGCATCACACGCAAGAGAAAACCTCTCAGCATATCACATGCAAGGGAGGAAAGATAAATTTCTCAGCGTATCACATGCAAGAGAAAACCTCTCAGCATATCACATGCAAGAGAGAAAAGGAAAATTTCTCAGCGTATCACACGCAAGAGAAAACGTTTCAGCATATCACATGCAAGAGAGAAGAGGCAAATTTCTCAGCGTATCACACGCAAGAGAAAACCTCTCAGCATATCACATGCAAGGGAGGAAAGATAAATTTCTCAACGTATCACACGCAAGAGAAAACCTCTCAGCATACCACATGCAAGAGGGAAAAGGTAAATTTCTCAGCGTATCACACGCAAGAGAAAACCTCTCAGCATATCACATGCAAGAGGGAAAAGGTATGAATGAACACCGGAACTCGTCCGAATGTTCGAAGCCGAAGATGTCCTAACGCACCGCATGCGAGAGGAGAAAAGGTGACAATTGCAAGTGAAAAGGTGCATAATGATGCAGGTGAAGTGTACATAACAATGCAAGTAATGAGCATAACAATGCTAGATAGATGTGTATAACAATGCAAGTAATGAGCATAACAATGCTAGATAAATGTGCATAACAATGCAACGAATGATCATAACAATGCTAGATAGATGTGCATAACAATGCAACGAATGAGCATAACAATGCTAGATAGATGTGCATAACAATGCAACGAATGACCATAACATTGCCAGTGGAACGCGCGTGACAATACCCGTTTGAAACAAAAATACCGAATAAGGGAATACAAGCCTTAAATAGACCAAATTCCAAACGCAACCTCCGATTTACCTCTCGGAGGGGTCACGATACATTCCAAAAAGGATACATCTCGTGCATGCCGACTGACGATGAGCTACACATCGAAGACATGAGTTGAAAATTCCGCAGAAACATTTTGAGCTGAAAAGAGTGGGTTCTTCTTGCACTTTCTTGATTGTACTTCCAAACCGTAGTTACTACCTTTCCTTCCTGGCCATGTTCACAGCTTTCCCTATTCTCCAACGGGGTGGCAGACTAGGTTGATTCAGTATCCAGAATCGAGGCGCATTCACATGCTATCTCAATCTATGGGGCTGCCATACAGATTTCAAGCCGAGGATAGACCCCTGGGTATTTAAACCAGACTTTAGTCTCAGAAATTCCGAACCTTTGCGTTCTAGGCAATAGCCGTCCGAACTCTAGTTTCCACCGTCGCAGTTGCTCTCCTAGGAACTCATTGCAAACACAGCCAAGATGCATCTGGCAGGGGCTGGTTTTTTGAGGGAGCACTTCGATTACCATTCTGGCATTGAAGTAGGCTTGAGTTTGGGAGTAGAAGCACACTCATACTTCGGAGCATTGACAAGGCCTGAAGAGGTACATCTGGAGTATAATAACAGAGAGTATAATCACGGAAACTGAAACAAACTCAAATGCTCCAATTTTCCCTCTTTTCTTTTGCTTCGCAACCTGGAACCTATATAGTTTCAGATAGATCCTGATTTTACTATTCTCATATGACTTGGGTTGAACCGTGTGGTTTTATGAAAGAACGAATCTTGTTTTGCACAATCATGAAGAATGGCACAGCACTCTGAGCACAAAACGATTTTATTTTTGAAATTAAGAAATGAGTTCTTAACCGGGTATTGAGCCTACGATTGAACACAGCGAAAAAGACTCAGCAACGAAAGACAAAAAGGTAAACAACCTAAACACAACGAGACACGCTCGGGACGACTCAAAGCAGGAATCGAGACAAACAAAACAAAAGACACGACACATAGACGTATCACAAAGACGACAGACCTCTCAGATCGCGAGGAGCCAGTTTCTCCGGATATTGTTTCCCACCCTTTCTTATTTGTGTCTCTCACATCACTCGGCCCTCAGGCCCTGTTTTTCTGAAAAAAGCCCTTTCCTCACTTCTTCTCTCAGCGCACACCTCTCTATTCTTCAATCTCTCATTTTTTATTCCCTCCCCTGGGTGGTTGATGGATAAGCAGGAAGTTGTGGGCTCTTGCCCCCGGTATTCTACCAGATTCTTCTTCTTGTTCACAACAGTGAGTTTCTCCCACAGAGGAATGCGCTACAACTGGGGTGTTACACTACCAAGAATTAACACTTTTGGCAACAAAAAAATTGGTCGCTAAAAGTCAATTTTTGGTCGGCAAAAGTTATCCGCGACCAATTTTTTTGGTCGCTACTTTGGTCGCCAATTGAGGGTCGGCAAAAGTAATTCGCGACCAAAAATTTGATTGGTCGGCAAAAGTTGGATTTGCCGACTAAATTTTTGGTCGCAAATATTTAATTACCCGACTAATTTATTTTGTCGCCAAAACACTTTGGTCGCGAAAAGTGATATTTTCCCGACCAAATTTCTTAGTCGCCAATTGTCACATTTCCGACCAAAAAGTTTGGTCGCCAATTATTACATTTCGCGACCAAATATTTTGGTCGCCAATTATGACATTTCCGACCAAAAAAATTGGTCGCCATTTATTACTTTTCGCGACCAATATTTTGGTCGCCAATTATGAATTTCGGACCAAAAAAATTGGTCGCCATTATTACTTTTCGCACCAAACTTTTGGTCGGCAAAAGTGAGTTTCCACGACCAAGAGCTGTTTTGGTCGGCAATAGATGTATTTTTTGGACCAAGACTCTTTGTCGGCAATTGTCATTTTTTGCGAAAAAAAATTATTTTGGATGTCGGACTAATAATTCCTAATAATTCATAATTCATTCAGGAAAAAAATACACCTGTAATTCCTAATAATTCATTCAATCCATAATAAACCTATAATTTTAAAGCATCATTCAAATTAACTGAATCATAACATTTGACACAATACATAATTCATTAACATTCGACACAATACAACTATTCTAAATTTTCATTCACAAGTCACATCCATCTAGCATAACAATTTGAAACATAACTATTTGTTACCATGCACACGCTACAAACAATAAAACTACTAATATTTGTTATCCATACACATCTATCCACAAATATTTAATCCTCCAAAAAATGCTTATACTGCCAAGTAGTCTTGTACAATTTAGCTTCGTGAACTTGTTAAGAAATATGTTGGGGAGGGTGCTGGTCTGGTTCGTGAACTTTTGATCCACTTTTCCCAACTTTTGATCCACTTTTCAATGATGGCCCCATCGATATTGTTTTAGCCACTTCAAATGTTTAGCAACTTTGTCGTATGCATATCATTTCCCTGTCAAAATGCCAAACATAAATGTCAATAAAATTTCCTTCTAGACACTGAAGCACCTGTACCGCCCAAGCGTAACGCATCGTGGCTAAACAATTAATGAAATCAAATATAATTACCAAGCAAATAAATTTAGATTTTATCACGGTGATAAGTCATTCCACACGAATCAACAGCTTGTTGCTTCTACATTAGAATGCATTTATTAATGAAACTAGAACAATTATTGAGCAACTGTATGACATTTGATGTGTGAAGTGCTCTTTTTCTCATGTTCATTTCTTTATGGAACTGGGTGATCTTAGAAATCCAAAGCTTTTTTTACTTACATTTGAGTAAGCAAGGTGAACAGAGCTATGGGAGCCTTATTACCCTGGCTACCCTTCCCGAGGCATATGCCTGCTTATCAACAATTGCTATATAGACTAATTGCTAATTGCTATATAGATGATCTACCTGCTTATCAACAAAACATCAGGTCCCATACCTATAAATGCAGATTCACCAAATATTACTTAAACCAATAGGACTCCAAGTTTTTAATTCGTTGATAACCCAATTGTTCTCTCCTTTAAAATAAAAAATCTCAACTCAAATACATGAATGAAAATATATGACACCCCCAACTAGTGTTAAGGAAACAAAAAAAGGGCCAAGAAATAAAGCAAATCATCTAATTCCTTCAGAATAATTGCCATGTACTGATGTATATTTAACATGTTATTACACCAATCAAAAGTGATTATAGAGGATATGGCACCACCTTTGCACAGTCACCGAGCCATCCCATGATACTACGAGCAGCTTGAAACATCTCTCCCAATGCAGTCAATGTGATCTGCTCAACCAGAAAAGAAGAATATTCTTACGATGAAGTTAAAGCTAAATGAATGAATCCACGTAAATATGAGTTGTCTTTATTGGACTGACATTGGAAAAGAAAAACCTCCCATGCTATTATGCATGGGATACATGATGCATCAAATTAGCAACCTGCCCCTGCTACAGTCCAAGTTATAGTCTACTTAAATTTTTCGTAACATGAGGACATGTGACTTTCTTGTTTTATTGGCTACTTAAAATTGACATCTGGCATGTGTGAATCCATGAGACAGAAGACTTGAGAAAACAAGGATCCCACAAAAAATTGTTGAGCATGGACACTTTTAAGAAGGTTTTGACATGACATGACATGACATGACACAACACGACACGACACTTGTTAGACACACGTCCAAACATGTCCGACTATTTCAAAACATTTCTATATTTGGAAGTGTTTCATACACCTGAGAAACACACTTGAAACACATTATAACCATGAATAAAACAACATGAAATCCAAAGATAAAAGGTAAAAAAAACATCAATTTACACCTATTCTCCTCTTTCAGAGTTTAAAAATTATTATCTTTGAATTATTTAATCATATATATGACATTTAATAATTCTTTATTCTTATATGTGATATAATAAATATAGAAAATTATATATTTTGCACAAGCGCTAGCATTTTTTGAAAATTTCCATGTCGTCTTGTCGGGGTCATGTCACCTGTCTGTGTCCATGCTTGGTCCAGCCTGATGTTAATATACACAAAATGCATTGCATACAAAAGACTATTCCATGAAGCAAATGTTATGCTCTATAAATAGATGCAAGACTGAAGAACTGTCAATGATCCTGCCCTTACTTTTGCAGCATAACAGGCTGCACCAAAGAGCTCTGTATCATCTGCGATGGCATTACGTTCCTTCAACCTTCTCTTGATCTGATCCCGAGCACAAATGTAAGTTACACCATACACTGATGTCATCACTGTCTGCTTCACTAATTTCTTGTCCACCTAGATTATTGCCACTTATCAGTCCAACGTCACTCACAGAAAATAACTAACTATTGGGATAATTAAGAAAGATGTCAATGTGCAGCGAGAAAAGCACAGTGAAGAATATTACCAGTTTTATTTAAGTAAATAAAAATAGCATACTAAGTAAATCACAGTGTCTAATATGTTGGGCATTCGGATGGATACAGTGTACATTATATGCATCCTATTTATATGGTCATAATGATGCATCCCTCCATCAACAGTATAATATCCTCCTCATACAATATATTATTTTCCATTAAAGTAATGAACCTAAAATTAATTAAAAAAGAATTATGTGATAGGAAAAAACCTGCACATCAAACATTGCATCAGGGTTGACAATATATTCAGTTTTTTCTTTGAGAAAGGACACATCCTTCATCTTGTTGCTCCTTTTTGCTTCCCTTCATTCTGATTGAAGCTCCTCATTATCAGCAAACTGCAGGTAATTAACTCAAACTAATCATGCTATCACAAGAAATGTTTGACTTGTATCTAAAAGTAATTATAGAAAGAAGTATATATGTGCACGATGGGACTCAATAAAAGAAGTATACGAGAAAAAATGGCACCTAGAAGTCCATAGAATTAAAATCTGACATCTTTTACACCATACAAAGTCAGGGAAGACTAGATAGCAGGTGTTATCCAAAATGCCTTGTTAATTTCTGACAGTTTCTAGATGGATTATATTTTTATCAAGCACGTAGTGACCAAAATTTTTCACTTAGTGGGACATGTTCTTGTGATAATGATCCAATTTATTGATTTGGAATGAATGTTGAAGGTATTGAAACAATTAACAAATATCTGATTTGGATGCTTCAGTCTACCTGTCGAAGATCTGCTAACTTCTCAGTGTTTATCAACCAGTCTTCTGTTCCCGTCCACTTGGTTATGATTTTACTTAGATGTGGATGGCAAAAACGAATCCACCTTCTTGGTGTCACTCCATTTGTTTTATTTTGAAATTTCTCAGGCCACAACTGCCAAAAACCAACATGCAGAAAAATTACTGTTAAGAACATTCGGCACCTTCAGAACTTTAAGTGATGTACTTTAGTTCCATTATTGTAAGATATAGAGAAGGACAATAAAATTGATTACTGACCTAGTTACCTTGTAAAAGTCATTAAAAACTTACCTTTTCACTATCTCACTGTGAATCTCAACAACACCATTTACAGCAAGGGCAGCCTACTGGTTACAAACATTTTAAGGGAATTATGCAATTACAACCATTTTAAGCAGACACTGTAAGGGCAGCCCACTTCTTGAGTGGTTAACATTCAGCCAAACAACCTTGGGGTTGTGGATTCGAATTAGAGGGCAGCCACTATGTACATAATGGTCAGAGGTTTGGTCTGTATACAGTCCACCCCTCCCAGACCCCTATTAACAGGCTGAACAAGTAAAAGCTAACTGAAGGGCACAAGAAAACTCAATGGAAAATGGCAGTTCAATTCGATGTTGTCTAAGAAGGATTTAGAACACAGGTGCATGTGAGTTCAGTAAAACAATGCAAAGAAAGTTAACATGTATACTATTACATAATGTCAAATCAAAGCTACAGCCATGAAGAAGGTACCTTTTAGTTATCTCCCAAGCTTCCTTCCAGCTCAAACCTTTCACATCCATCAATATGAGATTTCAGCTCCGGGATGCAGAGTGTTGGGTGAGTATCATTCATTTGTACTGCAACCTTGTTGGGAAAGGTATCCCAGTTCACTGGTTCACTAGATCTCGTCTCAAATCGTGCAATAATATCTTAGAGAGAAGCAGAGCAAAGTGTATACTGTTGCTTCAACCTTAGAGTCTTGCCCTCATTTGACTCATCTCTAGGGTATAAAACATAGAAAATCTAATAAAAATGCAGGGTTGCAGTAATCATTAGTAAGTAATTTTATTCACACTGGAACTCATGAAAGTTAAGTGAAGAAATGCAAAGAACATTCTATCAATAGGGAATGAAATTCCAGACAAATATGAATCCAGACCTTTTCAACCTTTTTTAGTGCAGGCCAAGCCCCTGCAGAAAAGGAATGAAAACAAGCACTATTACTTCCAGCTCACTTCCTCTCAGAGGGACGACAACATCTAGCTCACTTCCTCTCTCACTCTCTGATCTCATTCCTCCATCTACCCTCATGAAACCCTTTCTACTTCCTCCCCTCTACAATTTACGTCCCCTCCTGAAGCCCCCTTTTCTCAATCCTCAACCTTTTTCTAAGATTAAAACAAATGTCAGATATTGCTCGCCCGAACCGAAAATCAACCGTTGAAGATAGATTCGATGCTTTGTAGTTTTGACAAGTGCTCAGTCGGAATTGGGTGCTTTTTTTCCGTACCTGATCTAGTCAGGTCTAGTGACGGTTTGACAGTAAACCCAAGCTAACTCGACCCATGAACAGCCCTATCCGACATTTATACCTGAGTCCGTGTAACTTAAAGTGAAACAACTTATGTTGATTGGAGAAAAAAAAAACATGTGAACAAATCCTAAAAGTTCACATATTTTCAATGTTTGTCCAAGAACAATTTAACTTAAAAATTAAAAGCAATTTAACCTAATGGGTCCAACCTCTTCATTAGTTAATAAATTTCTATACTAACTTGAATGCAAGATAGGAAATGTTTTAAACTCTATATTTCACATGATAAGCATTTGGCTTGATATGTCATACTCTCACTAATCCTTTCACTTGTCCAAAATTTTTGGGTGAAAAAATCTTCACAAAGACAACAATGATGCCTCAAAGATTGGTTAGTACTCTCATATATTCTCAAATTCCTTAAATGGTAGCACTTACTTTTGCATTTTAACAAAATCCATTCTGCCTTTTCAAAAAATAAAATAAAATAAAATTTGTTCTCTCAAATTTCTTCTGTAAATTATAAAATTTCCCCTTCATCTCTTGACATATTTGACATGTATTTCTTCGCAATAACATCGTCTCCAAAACAGAGCTGTGAGCAAGCTAGTACGCATATTATGCAGCACAGTATACTATATGTTGAAACCACAAATTTGTATTAGTCGTATGAGTTGAATCCACATCTTGTAGAAACTTCACACATTTATTTCATGTGATACAACCCCCCCCCCAATAAATACTGGCTAGTTGTATGTTTAAAATAAAAACTATAAATTTTCTTCACGCTGAAGCTAAATTTTCCCTACTGCCAAAAAGAAAAGAAAAATAAATATTCAAAAAATTCCATCAAACTTCAAATATTTGTCCCCATCCACCACCTTATCAACACTAATTTCAATAAACCTCTCCCATTGGGGCAAAAAAATAAAAATTAAATTAAATGGTTTTCAAAAATAGTAATCTCAAAGTTATTATTGCAAGCCTAACCAGAGAACTCAAATCAACTATCATGAATCCAAAGTAATTGAACCTGTAAAACTCATTTGAAACTTGAGTTGGTCAAACCACACCTAAACTGTCCAACTTTAAATTTTGAGCTTCATCAGCCTCCATGTTTCCACAATGTTGCACAGACATACCTTGTATGCACCCTTGACTCCACCAATTTCAAGAGATGACTCAATGCCTCTCTTGATAAATTGCCTTTCTGTGATTCATCACATGGTCTGTGGCCTTCCTCCCCACAAGCATGTGCACCTGATGTAATGTCTGCAAAAGACGGCTATAAATTGAATCTATCAAAAGAGATACCCATGGACGACAGGTGCACATAAACTAAATAGGATTGATTGAGTGACACAGTAATCATGTAAGATGCAGTGTTCAGAAAAACTTATGCATCAAACATCATTATTTCTTATAAACTACAACATGTACATGCTATATTATTAATTTATTGAGTGTCTTTAGTGCACCCATTTCACTGCATAGAATTATAAATTCTTATTGAGCCAAAGAATACTAAGTGTCATAGGCATCAATATAGCCAATTCAGGATAAACATTCTCTACGCATAATGATGAATGCGAATTTGTCCTATACATATAAAAGGAAACAACAAACATGCACACCATTCAAACTTCTTAAATGTCCGGTCAAGCTCTAAATATTTGATTAATTTCTTGATCAACTTAAACAATTCAATCTAAGAAAGCCTATTATCACAATTACTAAGGGTTGACAACAAAAATCATTTCTCATTAATCATCTCCATCTATGGCTAGATTTGTACAAATTTAATAAATCATAAAAAAAAGAATTCCATTGATTTTCCTATAAACAGAACCAACATTCTTCTTAATCGTTTTGTTAAATCATTAGTGTGTTTTACTTAAATCCAATACATCCTTCCTTCTAAATAGATGGTCTTTATTGCTCAAAATCGTATCTTGTTTTCAACAATCACACCGACCCAAAAACAGAGTTGTTTCACTATGGCAATAACTAAGTGCAAATCTCGGATAAGATGCATTCCAATATTTATTATTCAATCATCATCAAAGATTACATGTATAAGCTCTGAAGCTTGAGCTTTAATTCAAAACAAACATCGATTGTCACCGAACAATTAAATCAAACAAATAAAATAAAAAAAAATTAAAAATTAAAAAAAAAAACATGAAATGGGTTGAAATAGAATCGGTAACTTACCACGATATCGTCTATAAATCTCATAAATATCAAATTGAATTGAATCGGACGAGTCCATGGCGGAATGGTATGGAAGCTGAACAGAACTAGGGATTCTTGAGCACAGAGATCCCTAGCTGATTCGCGGGTTGAAAAAAATGAAACCCTAGAAGAACTCAATAAAAGCTATATAGAGAGAGTATCTGTCTGTTTGACTGAGAAATTACCACATCTGAACCCCGATTTAAAACCCTACCTCTAGTTGAACCTCGCTCATCAGGACCAAGAGCATCCATCGCAACAATTTCTGATCGAAGGCCCTCCATAGAAGCAGCGAATGACCTCGAACTAGGGCTAAGACTCCCTTCACCCCCCCCCATCGTCAGTCTGTTAACACTAATCGAAGGAACCTCGTCAGAGGAAATTTTCGATTCCCCTTGCTCTAAGCTTAAACCCCGATTCAGTTTGCCCCAAACCAAATAACGCTGGTGATTTCGAATCCCTAACTACATCCTTAGCCCTAGACGAAACCCCTTTGGTAAACTATGGAGACTCCATCGACATCAATGAGCTATTGAAACCGTAGAATTTTAGGAATTCCAAAGAATGGAAGAGCTTCTCTCACTAACCCATACCACTAATGGCGTGCTTTGTTCTTCCTTTATGATTAGAACCATTGGCTATAGATTGATCTTGAGAGTCGGGGCTTTTGATTTTTTTTATTTTTTGATCTTGGGAGCCACGGCTTTCAATTCCCACCTGCAGTCAAATGGGTTTCAGGGGGTTTGCGTGGGAGGTGAAACTATGAGGTTTGGGGAATGAATTTTACTTTACATTACCCCCCCTCTCTCTCTCTCTCTCCCTCCCTCCCCGTCTATTCCCAACTGGACCACGCTTGATGTACACTCCGTCCGTTGTAAATACATACATGTATAACAAAAAAAATGGCCAGCAGCTTCCCTCCAGGTGGTTTTTATTAAAAAAAAAAAAGAAAGAAAGAAAAAGAAAAAGGAACAGAAAATAAACATCTCTTATTTACTGTCAAAAATTGTCTGTCGACAAGATAATCGCTAACCTTTACCCAGAAGCAGCACTCTTATTCATCCCACCTTGACGGCCACCTCTTCCGCTTCCGTTCTGATCGACTCGTTGATAATTCTCTCCATTGTGTCCGCTTGGGCCCTTGGGTCGACCTGAAAACTCGCCCTGGTTTCTGAACTCGTTCCTGCCAAAGCTCCTACCACCACCACCAAAGTTCCCGCGGCTCCTGAAGTTGTCATTCCGGAATCCACCCCTCCCCGAAGGGTACCTTCCTCTCGCACTACTGCCAACTGCAAAATAAAACAGCATAGTTTGTCATCATTAAGGCCCAACTACAAATGTACATGAAAGTCCCGGGTTTTTTTAGTTCAAAAAACTTGCCTCGAGTTGTAGTCCTCTTTTCCTCAACAACAGCTTGGCGACCCCCAATTGTTAGAGGCGAGGCCTGAAAACATTATGAGTCTTTCAATGTACATACATGAATGGTAAGCACTGCTGATTTTGAGCATTGAATAGCAAAGTAACTCGAGATCGCAACAGTAGGGGCAATCAAACACAAAGTGATAGAGACCACATTTATTTATGATCGCAAGAACAATTGAAACCTATTGTCAAAGACAGTCAACATCTCTGCTCAACAAATCTGACTTATCTTTGAATTTCATTAAATTGAAACCTCCATTACAGATACGACATAAAAACCCAATAACCCAAAACAGGAAATCAAAACAAAGATGCAAAAACACCAAAAAAACATATATACATGAATACCCTAAATACATATATAAATGTATATACTTAACCAAGTACATAAAAATGTATATACTCACCACAAATTTAACAGTAAGATGAAGAACTTCACTATAAAAAACAAAACAGGGCATCAGAGCAGTGACAAAAACACACAAGCATACATATACTGATATACATAAAAGAAATAGCTCAATTTTCATCTGAGGAAGCAAATAAAACAGATTAGAGGTGACTTCAAATTGAAACCTCAAGAGTAAATGTTATATAAACAAAAAAATAAAAATTATACAAAAAAAAATTCTATAGAATGATGTGAGTGAATTTTAACCTTTTAAAACCCTTCAAGATGGGGTCTCATTGCATCATTCTAGAGAGGCATTTTGTATAAATAAACATTGTAATTTTGCATTATTCTGATAATTGAGTCTCAATTATACATAATCAACATTGATTGATTGAAGTTATATCAGAATATTCCACAGGAAGAGAGGCCAGAGAAGAATTAAAAAAAAAAACCCTAAAACTTTGGAAGAGAGATGAATTTTACCTTGCAATCAGAAAATACCAAAGAAGAAGAGGCTGGAGAGCAGAGAGATAAAAGAACATTTAATCAGTTCAGTTTACAATTGAAAACAATTGAAAAATTAACCCTACAAATT